CCGTTTCTTCTTTCGCTCCCCCTCGGGCCGCGACATCGGCACGACACCCTCCGGGCGCCTGCTGCTGGCACGCACCGCCCCGCCCCCTCGGGGAGGAGATGGGGAAGGGGTACCCTCCTGCTTCCTCTTCCCCCGGGCGTCGGCAGGGCAGCTGCCCCCCGGGCCCCCGTCGCGGGGCCCAGAAGCACGACCCCCTCCCGGGGTAGATTGTTCCCCCCTGCGGCTCCCGCCCGCGCCATCGTGGCCTCGGAGGGCCCGCTCCCCCGGCGCTCCGACCGTCTGCATGATGGTCAGGATGTTGGCGCGCTCTGGATCGCAGCAGAGGGGGAGGACTCCTTGGGGGATGAGGGATGCCTCCACGGAGCTGAGATTCAGCACCTGTTGGACCACCATCCGGAAGTCTTCAGGGTCCCAGTCCCATGTACGCCCCTGGTGGGTCCTCATGGAGTCCTCGGGCCCGGTGTACTCCCAGGCGCCCCGTGCGCGCCGTTGGAGCGGCGCGATCCGGCGACGAAGGTAGTCGCCGAACACCATGGCCCCCGTGAGCCCCTGGGATCGCAGACCCGCCAGGCGGTCAAGAACGGCGTCATAACCGTCTCCCAGATCCACCACCGCTCGCCAGCTGGAGGCCTGCGCCGGGGGCTGGCTCGGAAGTCGGAGGCGCGCTTCGTCGGCGAGGGGGGTGTAGAACCAGTCGCTCTTCCAGTCGTCCCACTTCTTGTGGAGGACGCAGGGAATGTAGCGGTTCAGCACCTGCCCCCGCGGCTGGAAGTAGCAGCCACCGACTACTAACGGCGGCGACACCAGCTGTACGGTGAAGAACCACTGGAACAGCCAGAGAGATGGGCGCACCCCGATGAACATCTCGCACAGGTGCGCAAAGATGGCCAACATCATTACCGCGTTGGGGGTGAGGTGCGCCATTTGGAGATCATAAAACTCCAGAATATCCATGAAAAAAGAAGAGAATGGCGGGACCAGCCCTGCCATTGCGAAAGAGAGGAAGAAGACGGACCGCCCCGGGTAGTGTGGCGTCGGGCGTCCCTCGCCCAGCGCGACCACCTCCCGGCCGGTGGCAGATTCCGGCATGAATCGGCGCGGCAGCCCGGCCTGCCTCTCGCTCACGATGCGGGAAGGCGGCAGCACGCTACCATCGAGCGGTGCGGAGCCCCGTGCCATGACGCCGGTGGAGGAGGAGCTTGAGAGCGAGTGAGTGCGGCAAGGGTAGGGCACAGGAAACGAAGAGTTAGAGCTCAAGTGGCGAAGGCAAGGGGAAGAATGGCGAGAGGAAGGAAACGAATCTCTTCCTCGGCGTCTTTATACCCTTGCCAACGCTATTCCCGGCTCCTCGTTTCCCGCGCCCACTACCTCGCCCCCTCGTTTCTCGCGCCCACGCCTCCACTAACCCAACTCGCCCGTTTGCGGCGCACGAGGCAGATGTGCGGCCGTAGCAGTTGAGATGGGACAGATCGTGCGCGCATTAACCACGCTCGCCAAACGCGAAAAGCGCCATCATCACGTCTCCAGAAGAAACGAACCGGCTCGTCCCGATTCGCGCACTGCTCGAGTGATGTAGCGGTCTTAAAGAGGCCGCTCATTATTGTCGGTCGATTTTCCCTTGCCGATGCGCGCGACTTACGACCGCTGGGTTCCTGCCCGCCTGTAGGGACCGGCCCCACCTGTCACCGGGCCTAAGGAGTGGCGTCACGCCCGAGCGCTTCCCTCGAAGGGGGCAATCGCCCTGGCGTAACGCCGGGGGCTACTGTCGGTGACATGGGGCCGAGGGTATCGTGACTAGAGGCTTGGGTAGCCGCGGTCACCCACGTGGCCTGACCCCCTCGGGGGGGTCGGGCCCGAGGATGATATGGCCACCCCTCCCTCTGTCTCCCCGAGGGGTCGGGCCGCCCCTGTTTCGGCCCCGAGGGCTGGGGCGCCCCGACCCCCTGTGATTTTGGCGCCACATGTATGAGTTAGGTGAGCACAGCGGGGCTCACCTAACCGCATTTATTGCGGGTTGGACGAGCGCGCCACGCTGCATTTAATGCAGCGCATCGCACGCTTATCCGGTCCGTGACCGGTCGCAGTGTGTGACCGGTCACAGACCGGTCAGATCGCGGGTTAGGTGGCAACAGGCGGCCTGTCACACGCCTCGCCCCGTCCCGTCGGAATGATGAGAGCCTCCAGGCACTCGTCCCTAGCCGGAGCCGGTGTGCTAACTCCTGGAGTTGGTATGTCAGTCCCGGCCAGATTCATTCCAGGCTTCATCGCAACCATGGCAAGGAAGTCATTGTATGAAGAAGGGCAGACGTGCGGCATGCTAAACTGACATGCGGTGGACAAGAATGACCGGTCTGTGACTGGTCTGACGCCGGTCACGTCATCGGCAGACAACCGTGCTCCCACGTTGCATCTGCTTCCGGCGGAGTGGAGGTAGGTATGACCCATCTCATCGGAGGGTCATTCGGACAGCGGCCATTGCAAATCTCCACCCATTAATGAAGGAATGACAGGGTTATCCCCTGTGTCAGGCGAGTGATGGCGCTGGGCCTCACTCAAGGACAAGCTGTGATTTAGCTTCCAGGCGAAGGCGCGAGCCAAGTTTTGGTCAAGATAGGGTGGGTCCCCACCCAAAAGAAGAGTAGGTAGAAGTGGTGCATGTGGTATCCCCTTGAGATATAAAAGGAGGACCTTGCCCACCGAAGCAAAGGGGAGGAGGCTCAGACGACTCTGAAAAGACCTGAGCTCGTAGAGGAGAAAAAGAGGAAGAGGGGTTCTAGAGCCTGAACTCTCTTGCTCTCCGGCTCTCTGTAACTCCTTTACACACAGATCCACCAGAACACAGGAGTAGGGTATTACGCTTCTCAGCGGCCCGAACCTGTCTACATCGCCCGTGTCTTGTGCATTTGCTCTCTCGCGAATATTCCACAGATTGAGGGTGAAGAACCTCACTTAGCGCCCCCGGCCGAACCGGCAAAGGGGGGCCTGTGCGGTCTCCCGGTGAGGAGCCCCACGCTCCGTCAGGTATAGATAAATCAACACACATTATTGGTACATACAAAATATACAAGGGTAAAATTATTTTTTTACACATCTATTAATGATAGATTGACACAGAAAGACGGAGAAATAGCAGAGAGGGTTAATAAATGATAAAAAGTTAAGAACGAAGGGTGTAAGAAAGGGAGCCGATTTTAGAAAGACAAACAAAAGATAGTGCCTAAATTTTCCACGCATGGATAAAATTCTATATATTTTGAGATAGATGTAGTACATATTTAGAGGGCAAATAAAGAATTTTCTCTATTATATCCTATAGAAAATGTTGACTTGAGGTTAAGGTCAAGTGTAGGGGTGGAAACAAGCCCAGGCCACTTGGCTCGGCTCGTGAAAGCTTGGTGTAAGGGAAGTTCAGCTTGACTTGGCTCGCTACAAACAACGAGCTAAAACTGTAGCTCGGCTCGGCTCGTTTATGGGCTCGAGCTAGCTCGAGCTGGCTCGCGAGCCTGGCATCAAGTAAATCTCAAGCAAGTCTAAGAGAAATGGAGCAACATTTTACCACATAGAATGTATAATAAAGTGATATTTTTCTTTAATATGTCATCACAACACATAAATAGATAATATGACAATCAAAATTATCATTTTCAACAAATAAATAGTTAGAAAAGGTGTAAAACTTTTGCATATGACACTATTGTACTGAGCTAAGCGAGCTCACGAGCGGCTCGTGAGCCGGCTCGGGCTTGGCTCGTTTCGAAAACGAGCTAGGAAGGAGGCTTGGGCTTGGCTCGTTTGGCTTTCGAGCTGAGCCGAGCTATGCGAGCCCGAGCCAAGCCCGAGCCGAGCTCACAAGCCCAACCTTTTTGTCTACCCCTAGTCAAGTGAATTATACAAAATCTAGAAACTCATAGCAGTTCTAAATGTCTGAGCTCTAAAAAGTAAAAAAGTACTTGCACAGTTATGAATACTTTGACAGCTACACCCTAGATTGGTCAATCACTAGTAGTCATACCTTCCAAGCAATATGCTCTTTATGCTTTAAATATACGATGATGATATAGTAAAGGTATTTTGATAATTAGGGTAATGCACCTCTTTATGCTGCACAGACTTTTTATTCTTGACCAAAGCTTGGTATAATATAAAGTCAAAAGCGATAAATATTATCACACCAATTTATGCTATATAAACCTTTTATTCTAATCAAAACTAGTACTCCATCCGTTTCATATTATAAGTTCTTTAATTTTTTTCTAAGTCAAACTTTGTTAAGCTTGACTAAATTTATAGAAAAATTTAGCAACATATAAAATATCAAACTAGTTTCATTAAATCTAGCATCGAATATATTTTGATAATATGTTTGTGTTGTGTTGAAAATATTACTATATTTTTCTACAAATTTAGTCAAACTAGAAGAATTTTTTTTTCGGAGAACTGGAAGAAGTTTGATAAGGAAAAAAAAGAACAGACGTCCTATAGTATAAAACGGAGAGGGTATAATATAAAGTTAAAACCGATAACTACCCGTAAAAAAATTGGATAGAGTAACAGAGTTTTCACTACAAAAGTAAACATATGCTCACTATTTTCTCTCATGGAACTGTCTCAAAAAGTTTCCCTGCTGAATTTAGCCATGGGATTTCTATGGACGCCCTTCCTCCTCTCGCTTTGGCTCTCACACCTCATCCTCCTCGACGCCCAAGAAACCCTCCCTGATTGGTCGCACGCACAACGCATGGCTCCCAATTATTGGACCTCGACCGCTCCTAAATCCCCTGCCCTACAAAACAGTTAGCCGAAACAAGAGGTAATGGATGCAAACCAGCTAAAAACAGGCAACAAAAAAAAATAAATCTTTTTTTCGAAAATTACCTGTAACCTTCCATCCATCACACACACAAAAAATCTTTTTTTTTTGAAAAAAAGAAATAAAAAGAAATCCAAGGAAATGGCCAAATTCGGGCCATAAATAGTCGTCCCCTCCACTTGCGAATTTCCCTATTGCAGCTTGGGCTTCCTCTCCCCCCCGGTTGCTGCTGCTGCAGCTGAGCCTCCGTTCTTGGAAGCGAGAGAGAGGGAGGGAGGAGGGAGGCAATTGGTGAGGCTTTTGGAGGAGGAAAGGGAAGCTTCGGGCCCCAGCATCCTCCTCCTCCTCTTGCTCACTCACCACGCTCTCCTCTCACCAAACTCTCTCTTATCTCCTTCCAAGATCCCAACCCCTTTTCTTCTTTTTTTTTGTTTGTTCTTGTTAGGATCATTTTCTTGATCTTTCAAGCTCAGCTCCAGCACTCCCCCCGTTCGTTTCCAGCTGCAGCAGAGATCTTGGTTAGTTGGATTTTTAGCTTCCGTGTTTTTTGAGCGAGTTCTTGGTTAATTGCTCCAATCCGAGAAAAATCACCAAGTGTCCTTTGCTTCCCTCCCTCCCCCCTTGTTTTCTGGGCTTCGATTCGATCGAATTCGAATCCCCGTCCCAAATTTATTTATTTTCCCACCCCTCCTTTGTGTAAAAAGCGGGTTCCATCGCGTCACCCGCACGGCTCGTCCGATCGAAAAGCAGCTTGAAGAAGAAAAAGTGAGAGTTCTTGATTCGATTCTGGTCGTAGCAGCAGCAGCAGCAGCGTCTTCACTGGTTCGTTCTTTGTTTATTTATAAGGAGCAGCGCCCAATCCGAGCTGCTGCTCCTCCACCGCGGCGGCGGCGGCGGCGGTGTTTGATCGATGCTTGCCTTGGTGGCCACCTTCGTCTTGGCCTGCCTCGTGTTCTTGTCGAAGCCATGCGCGCGTGAGATGAGATTGTTCCTGTCGACGCTGTGCCAAGAACTCGCCCTCGCGCTGCTCGGGTTCCTGGCCGGGCTCCGGCTGCTCGGCGGCGTCGGCGCCGGCGCGGCGGCCGAGACCACCATGCCGCTGATGCCGTCCTTCAAGAGGAAGCGCGCGGCGGCCGTGGAGGAGGGCGGCGGCGGCGGAGGAGGAGGAGGCGGCGAGGAGGCCGGCGGCGAGCCGTCGGTGCTCGACCTGCCGGAGCTCGCCATCGAGTGCATTCTCGCGAGGCTTCCCCCCTCCGAGCTGCGGAACATGGCCGGCGTCTGCCGCTCCATGCGGGAGCGCTGCCGCGGCGACCACCTCTGGGAGCGCCACATGTCGGAGAAGTGGGGCGGCGTCCTCGGCCACGCCGCGAGGGAGGAGTGGAGGACGTACCTCGCGTCGGCGGCCGACACGGGCGGCGCCGCGGCGTCGTGCTCGCTCGCCGGCGGCGGCAGGCACCGGAGGTGGCTCGCCGCGCTGTCCTGCGTCTGCCCGGTGGTGTCCTGGATGCGTCCCAGGGCCGACGGCGGCAGCGGCGGCAAGTCGGCCGGCCCCGTGCTCGATGATTCGATCATGTCGTGGTATCTGTCCATGGAGAGTGGCAAGTTCTGGTTCCCGGCTCAGGTCTACAACCGTGAGGTATAACTTTGGAATCAAGCAATTTTAATTATCATCCCTTTGCAATTAATAGCTAGCAGTTTCATTATTGTCACCAAGCATGCAAATTGGGATGATTTGTAGTGTCTGTTAATGTTCATTGTTGCTAGTGATTAATCTGTTGATGATGAATTTTTGGAAAGGATACTGAAGTTTTATACCTTAATTTGGTTCCTTGTTTCTGTAAATGCTTATGTTGATGATGAAGTTTGGAAAGGAATACTGAAGTTTATATCTTCATTTGGTTTAGCGGATTTGCGTCTGAGTGTCCAATTGGGCATAATCTAGATGAGCTCATTTGTGTTTCTTTAGGATCTTATCTTCAAACTTTTAGTTATGTTTGAGCAACCGGAACCAATCTTGAGGCTTTTTGTTTGTTTGCAGCATGGGCATGTTGGATTCATGATGTCATGCTACGATGCAGAGCTCAGCTATGATTTCCACAGTGATACCTTCCGTGCAAGGTACTAACTTCTTACTGGTTTAGTGATTTTAGCTGTGGTTGAATGTAAATTGTGGTTATGTCCTGATGATTTTGAGGCGAACACATAGCAGCACAAAGATTTTATATCCTCTGAAGATTGTATCTTCAAGTTATCTAACTGGCCTTAAAAACATTGACAGGTATCCACCACACGGACGACGGACCGTAGTCTTGGAGGACGGGGTACACTGGGATAGGGTCAGGGCACCTCCAGTAGACACTCACGCACATGATCTCCATGCCTCTGACTGCTTACACGAACTCCGGCCAGGCGATAACATTGAGATCCAATGGAGAAGGAACAAGGAATTCCCCTATGGTATGTTCCCGAGCACCCAACAACGCAAATGCTTTGGACAGTGCTAGAAGAACCAATAAACATTTCCATATGGGATATGCTAATCTTATCTGATAGTGATGAGGAGTATTTTACCAGTGGACAGTGTGTTCATTCATGTGTTGCTATGTTTGGCAGGCTGGTGGTATGGAGTTGTTGGCCACTTGGAGTCATGTGATGGAAGTGAGCACTTTTGTCGGTGTCATCTTAGTGGTGAGAATATCTTTAATCCCAGGGACTAAATTATTTGACTTGACTAATAATTACAAAGTTAGTTGCATATACATATGCCTTTTTGATGCCACGACCCCATCAACATGCCAGCAAAGTCTAAAGAATGTTATAAAACAACATCATGGCCTCAGACTCATTTTGCTCATTCATTGATTAAAAGCAAAGTGTTACCCTTGAAATGATGACTTTAGCTTATGTTTGACCTTAATTTCACTTTAAGAAACATTCTATATCATGCATTAATTTAATTGGATTTTTGTCTATCCAATGTTAAGTTCCGCTGTTAGGTTGATAACATAGTTGGCATGTTTGTGAACACAGCTGATAATAGTATATGTATGCAAGTATGCAACTACTTCGTTCTATAACAAACCATCTATTTGTTAGATAAGGCTTAGCTTTCATTGACTTACATTAATATGTTTTTTGTCATTCATGATCTGCATGTTGTTCTTTGAATAAATATAATCTGGTTCTTGACCAATGTCATGAGGCAAGAGTCTTACTCCTTTCCACTGATACAAGATGCTTACAACTAATTGCTTTCCTTTTGAGTGAACAAATTGAAACCCGTATGAGTTTCAACTTGAATCCCAGTTAATAATAACAAAGTATAAATAGCTAAGATTTCTATTCTGTCCTACTTCATTTTACCTTAACTCTTTCTGAAACTTACACAAAACCCTGCATAAACATTTGTTTCAGACACTGTTGTTCTGGAGTTCAACCAATACACACCTGGTTCAAGATGGAGGCAGGCGCTGGTGAACCGGAAGGACCACAGGGAAGAGGGCAATGAGGGCGACGGTTTCTACGGTGGAATCAGGAAGCTCCGCAGCAAGGATGAGATCTCAAAGTGGAGACAGTTGTGGCCAACAGACATTCTTGAGTAGCAAGGACAGAGATTATTATTCCACTGTTGTTATTCATCAAGTTGCCAAATTGATGCTCTCCAATTGCTCATTCTGTATTCTGAAACCTGACGAAAACGCCACCCATCTCCTCCACTCAAGTTGTATACACAAAGGATTGGAACATGGGGTGACAAAATTTGGTAGCTTGGGACACAATTGTGAAACTTACTGTAAGGCACGGATGCACAGATTGCTTCTGTAAACGGGCGTTAACTGAACATGTATCAAGTCTACAGCATTGTATGTGACTGCTGCAGCCTGTGCCTCTGCATGTTGTTGTAGCTGTAGAGCAGAAAGATCAAATGTAAATTACATTGTTAGCTCCAATTTAATTTACGGCATTTCAGGATGCCGTCTCACGGTTACCCTATCCATGCGCTTTTTCACATTTTGGCCTTTTTTGAAACTTTGTTTTTCTTTTTGCAAATGGACGCACTTTTTAAAAAACATGTTTTCGCTGAGTAAAAGTTAAATTGTGGAAACTATTCCATGTAGAGTGTTCAGTATGTTGACAGATTCTGAACCTTGAACTGTGGTTCAGGTTCAGGATTGATGATCCTGCTTTCCGCAATACTTGTGAATTTTCTCATCTGACAAGGATAGCAGCACAGGAAACGGGTTGGAGAAACTTCAGTTTTCAGTGCAGATTACTACTAAAATCAACAGAGCAAATCATACACCATCATTTTTTTTTGCCCCCACAAACGTCAAAATTTGTCAATCCATTACAAAAATGTACTAAAAGCAACATCAAAACTGTAACATCCCGCCTTCCCCCAGGCCGGACCCGTTTACATCTGATAGCTTTCATAGGTCATAGACTGCCCTCACAGAGGGGGCACATATCTTTTCTGCACACTTTGTCCTCACTCGTGTGCACCCGGGAGGAATTTCCCGGTCGGTCACCCATCCCAAATTGCTCCAGGTTACCTAGAGTTCTTTGAAGATTGGCTTCCGGAAAAGAAGTTGCAACTTGTTGATATGAGTATTCTATTAATCCTATTAAGCCCTAGGCCGGGATGTTACAAAAACCAAGCATCAAATTCCACATGCTTGGAACATAGAAAGCTCTCATGGCAAAGCTGCAGGTCACATACACAGTGTATCCTTCGTCAGGCAAGCCAGTGAGCTTGCAATGCGGCGAGCAAGATCGCACTGGAAAGAAAAACCAAGCGAATCTCCTCCTGTCCTCCGGTGATCCGGCGACGGCGAGCTCGGCCTCCTCAGGCACGCGTGGGCCGCATCATCGCCGCCTCTGCTTCCGGCGAGCACGGCGGCGGCCTGAAGGTGAGGCTCACCACCGTCCTGTCGATCGCGTCGCGGCGACGGCGCGGCCGCGTCGTCGACGCACTGGAGAGGATTCGCCGCGGCGAGAGGAGAAGAGGAGACAGAAAGCATCAGGATCACGAGCTGGAGGATTTCAAGAAGCGATCGACTAAGGTCGACGGCGGCTTGCGCGTGGTACCTGGTGGCCTCGGCGACGGTGGCGCCGTCTGCGGCGGCGGCGGCGGAGCGCGGCGACCTCGAGCCCTCGGCCAGCCGGTAGAAGGCGTCGCGGAGGCATATCCGCGTCGTCCTCGCCATCTACAAGACACAGGAGCAGCCATTTTTGTCAGGAGAGGAGAGAATTTGCGGTGCCCACAGTTCGCCGGCGGCGAGGATGCCGACCATACCTGCACCATCACCTCCTCGAGCTCCTCGAGCACAGCTTCTTCGAATCCCGGCGGCGAACTCCCCGGATCGCCTCTCTCCGTCGCGCTCGCTCCAGCCTGCAACATGATCAGCTGGCGGGTTCTCAGAAATCGGAGAACATTTCGGTAGAAGCGAAATTTCGGAATGAAGAAAAGGTTGAAAGTTGAATAAATTATGGTTAAATTTGAAGGAAAATCAGTACTTAAATCAAACAAAATTGAACTTCTGGCCCAAAGAATATTGGGAGAATAGCCTATTTGGTACTTCAACTTTTGCTCCGAGGTTAATATGGTCCTTGATATTTCAGTTTGTTCGAACTAGTCCTAAAAATTTATTTTTCAATCTACTATGGTCCTTGGACCCACCAAAAAGGTCAGGTAGACATGCCATCTCATCATCTTATACAAATCTGTCATGAAATGTCTAATATACCCTTACATACAACATAAGAGAGAGAAAAGAAAAATGTCACACACACTTACATTCGCAAATACCCAAATATATCGATTTGTCTATCAATACATATCAATACATGTAACATAATCAATTTTGTATATATATTAATTCCTGGGATTAGATTAAATTATCTACTCATACAAGATTAATTAGTTATAGTATTTCATATCACATACAAATGGACAAATTAGATATTTCACCATCCATTTTTAATAAGATGATGACATGGCAATGCCTACATGGCGTTTCCGGTGGACCTAAGGTTCATATTGGACCATATGACAAAGTTTAAGGATTTGATTGGACAAAAATAAAATATCAAGTACTATATTGACCTTAAGGCGAAACTTTAGGGATCAAATGGCCTATTCTCCCAAGAATATTTATGTTGGGGGGATCGAAATTCCCGAAATTGCGGACATTTCATTTCGAAATTCTTGACCAAAGGCACGAAAATAGTGTAACTACAATTCACCTTGTCCATGGAGGAGGTGTCTGCAGCAACCATCCCCTTGGCAAAAGAAGGCAAGCCGCCATCATCTTGCAGGCCATGGCTGAAGTAGAGAGGGAAACCGCAGGTGTCCATGTCGTCTTGATCCATGTTCACCTCCTGATTCTTGGAATCGGACACCAGAGCTCCGTTCAGTATGTGTTCGTAGGACATGAGCCTGTGCATGGAGTCCGGGAACATGTCCAGCGCCTGGAACGGAGCATCCATCCTCCTCACCTCCTCATCTGAAAACTGGCTCCTGAAAAAACACAGGTTCAGACCCAATTTTTTTCTCTCAGTTTACAGATGATTTGCAGTAATCACCAATGTAATCACACAATTAAGGCATTTGATTAGTAAGGCAATGTGGTGTAGTAATTGCATACAAGAACATGTCGTTTGTTTGCTCCATGTGCAGAGGCTCAAACTGTGATGGATATCCAGGTTGCTCATCTGAATCTGAAGGCACTGTACTGCAATGTTCAGAGGTGTCGAAAGATTGCGTGCCGCCACCGTTGCTGCCATGATTGTCTGAATATACGGTCGTTGTGTTCAGATCATCAGATAGCCTGGAGTCCCAGAGTGTCCAGTAAATTCCCTGCTCTGACCTTTGGTTCTGAAAGAGTTCATCAGCAGCTGACAAGTTGCTTCCACTCTCTGGAAGGGAATGGCATGCCATGCTACTCATCTGAAAGAAAACAAAAACAGGGCAGAATATTTTAATTCAGGATTACTTTGCAAATACTTGTGCACCGAAAGGCAGGCAACAGGATTAATTATGCAAGAGCATGGTGTCATTTCGAAAATTAGTGGTGTAGTTATCTCTAGTTGAGTTAGAAAAGTTCAGCAATATTCAGAAAAGAAAAGCCAAAAAAAAAAAAGAATTCTAGTTAGCAGACAGGATCATAACATGACAGAGATCAGAACCGTGGAAGATCATATCAAAGAAGAAGAATTCGATGAAAACAGAGTAATTGGTAGTAGAAGAGTAAGCTGGAAGAGATCACTCAATCGCACACGGTGGCTTTTCACTAATAATTTGTGCCTTTCGGTTCTCATCCTGCTAAGCATGAAAGAACTTACTGTACATGCCATAACAACAACAAACCAAGAACTGAAGAACACAAACCTGCATGCAGAAACCAAAAAGAATGGCCTTTCTTGAGAAGAACAAACAACCGATCATATTAAAGAAGAAGAACAGAGGAGTAAGCTGAAGCAGATCACTCAATTGCACACAATTAACTCCCGTCAAGGACATCACCGATCCTCTCAATATTTTTTTTCTTTCATTTCTCATCCAGCTAACCATGAAAGAACTTACTGTATATGCCCATAACAACAACAACAAACCAAGAACTGAAGAACACAAACCTGCATGTAGAAACCAAAAGAGAATGGCCCCTTTCTTGCGAAGAACAGAACACTAAAACAGGGAGCCCAATCAAGATCCACCACAGAAGAAGAACGAATCCTCTTGCTGCCTGCTCGTCAAGCTGTTCTTGACGCCGACAATCGCCAGAAGCTTCGTGGTCGGAGCTTAATTAATTACTCGAACAAACAGAGCAGGAGGAGTCGAAGATTGAGTGCTGGTTTCTTCTACTTAAATGCTCCCACCATTGACACTGACAAGTGGGCCCGCGGATACCAGTGGCCCCACATATCATCGGGATGGGACTCGTGGGACCCACGAAGTCGGCCCCAGCTGAGCTGCGTGAGTTATCTCACGCCACACGTCACAGAAGAAATCGTGTGGCTGGAAAGCGAATCTGGCCAGAGGCTATCAAAATCTTGGCTGCCGTTTGGCCACGTGTCCACGTGGGTCCCACCCATCCGTGGCAACATTTTTTTCAGGTAATATAAAGATGTAAATATTATTACCACCTCTCAAAAAGGAAAGGGGGAAAAAGAATAAACATCAAGATGATTTTTCATAATTTCATTCGCACCAAATTCGAATCAGTAGCAATCCAATCAAATCAGGAACCCAAAATTTGGAAGAATCAAATCAGAAACGGGGGGTAACATCAAAGCGATGATACGACGACGCGGCGACGATCCGATCCTATCTATGCACATGTTCTTCCAATCGAGGCCAAAATTCCAACAGCGAGAGCTCAAGCCGCCACCGGCGACGGCGGCGGGAGAAGCTTCTTGGCCGGCGAGTGGAGGGAGACGGCTCCGAGCTTGGGGCTCGCGTACTTCTTGTACACCACCTTCTGCCTGCTCTCCGGCGCCGCCGCGTGCAGGCTCACCAGCCGCCTCGCACACTCCCTGCAGCTCAAAAAACAAGCCACATGAACAGATTAAGTTTTAATAATTTGGATGGTGCAGATCTTTGATAAGAGTCATGTAATCAAAATCTTGATCAGCATATTTATGCATACAGGCGTTTTAATTGAATGGTGCAGATCAAAGTAATTGGTTAGGCACTAGCAATTTTAGCAGCATACGCATGTAGTAGATTCATATTTTGTTCTATGTTCAAAGCATATGTTAGGACTATCTGTTCAGCATTCTTCAGGTTACAACTATCTGTATCAAGCCACATGAACAGATTAAGTTCTTGGATTAGACTAGAGAGAGCATAACATGCCATTGCATACAAAGAAAGTTTGGACATCACCAACTAGTCCAGGACAATATTCAACTGAAACTTTCAGTAGTACAAAATTCAGTCAGTCTGGTGGAGACACAACAATGTAACTAAGCATGCCAAATTTATATATAACTGAAATCCTTTTCTAGGCAAGCAGTCAACACAATTCATTCACAAGTCATATTCTTCAGATTCAACGTGTAATCAAAATTTCATAGGCAAGATTTAAGTAACTAAAGCAAATGAGAAAAAAGACCATCTCTGAATATGAAACTTAAGGACAACAGGTTATCAACGATTGTGAAAAGATGGATTATTTAGCATTCCAAATTTATATAACTGAAATCCCTTTCTGGGAACGCAGTCAACACAATTCAATTCACAGGTCATATTCTTCAGATTCAATATGTAATCAAATTTCATGGGCAAAGATCAAGTCATGAAGAAGAAGACATACAGCAATTGCGGCTCAGCTAAGCCGGTGTGGTACTCCAGAAGATCGCTCCATAGTGGGCTCAGGCCAAGGGTACACCGAGCAGCGTAGACGGCAGCGGCTGCTATCACCGATGGCGCAAAAAAGAGCATGGAGTACTGAACCAGTGCGAGCTCTGCGTAGAAGAAAGTCATGTGCTCCAGCTGCATTGACAGAAAAAAGAATGGCACATTACAACACATTGAAGATGTATAGCACCAGCAGAAGAACAACTGAAAATGGACTGTGCTTGTTAGTTACCTCCTCGTCACCCAATGCAGCTTTCAGGTATCGAAGGATGAACATGTACATTGTCGGAACAGTCAGGTTCCACTGGAGCTTGTTAAGTATGGACTTCTCTGTGCTCAGGACCTGCTGCCTGCTGAAGGAGTTGTCTGATATGACAAGGAAGTCCTTAACCTGCAAAAATGGCAGCTCAACTGTAAGACAAGAAGCAAGTGCAAGCTGAAAGTCATATGCAAATTGAACAGCATTGAACACAATAGCAAGTTGAGCATATCATATGCAAAATTGAACGGCATCAGTGGTGTGCAGAAGTGGAATCCTTACCAATGGAGCCCAAGTCTCCTCATACTTGCAGGCTATCAACATGGCGCTTACACCGACAAGCTGCAGCTCCTTCCTGGGCACATTCTCCAGGGACAGGTACTGATCAATTATGTAGACAGTGAGGTACAGTGTCTCTGGCATCAGCATAAGCCTGTAGTGCACTTCGATGAGCCAATCAGTCAGGATTGCTCTCATTCTCTCGTTGATCTCGGTCTGTGACACCATGTAGGTGCAGAGAGGCCGGTAGGTGTTCTGGACAAATCAAGCAGCAAGAGTAATCAATCACCGTTCCATCACCAATTGATTTGGCATAAAAGAAGAGGAAGCTAAGCTCACCTCGGTGTTCCTGTAGAATCTGTAGATATCTTCGACGTAATCAACCACTGCCAGCTCGTTGTGAGAATCAGATGCATCGATGTCGTATATCAGCTCCTTTTTCGGGCTGATCACACCGTCAGAAGCCTGTGTTCAGAACAAGTTCAGCAAAAGAAGAACAAAACGGATTCTTCAGACAAAAATTTCCCAACATTACAGAATCAAACAACACCAAAGAACACATACCCTGCTGCACTTGGTCAGAATCGAGGTGAGCGTTTGGATTGGCGCCCTCCGGGAGGCTGCTCTCTGGGCTGGATTTTTCTTATGTTTCTCGGAGTCTGAACTGATCACGATGACTTCTGGCTTGGCCGCCTTGTTGTTCTCGTTGCGCTGCTTGATTGGTTTCCTGCACTTGTCAGCTGCTGCTGCTGCTGCCTTCTGGCGATTTACGACAGGCAGAGCAGCCCGGCCATTGACGAGATTACTGACGTCGGCGAGGGCTCGACGGATTCTTGGCGGTTGCTGAGCAACAACCGTCGTGGTCTTTGGCCTCCTCGCAATCTTGGCAGCCTCTGCACAAAGTCGAAATTTCAGATCAGTAACAAGAGAAAGCACAGAATCGCTAAGGGAGAAATTTTGCACGGAAATAGGTGAAAGCGCACGCATGATTCAGAACAAGAAACGCGATTCAATAGGTGAAACGCAATTCTGGGAAGATGCCAGATTTATCGAAGCAAACCCAAAGAACAACGCAGAAACCATCACAGCGCCAGCAAAAGATCATTTCTATGCCAAAAGAACCCATGCGAAATTCCTATCGATTCAATAAATCAACCAACGCGACAAACATCTGCTTCCACCACGGGCACATGCGTTCCGATCATATTTTGGGACCAAAAAATAATCCACACATGAACATGATTTTCAAAAGGTGCTCTCTTTACGCCGAATCAGAACAAGAACCCGTATCAAAGAACCCATACAATTTCGCAATCAAGCGTCGATCGGACAAGAAACCGTAAAAGAACCCCGCAAGAACACACCATCGATCCTAAAAATCCTAATCTCCGGGGACGGGAGAAACCTACGAAGGCAAAGCAGGCACGCGACGTATCGCAGCAAGAAAACCCCCTCCCCATCGCGCCGCCGCCGCCGCCGCCATGAGAGCCCCTCCAGAACAAAGAACACGGCAAAGAACGCGCGCAGGAGATGATCGGTGGCCGCCTTACCTCCCTTGCGTTCCTGAGCAGGAACATCGACGGCGCCGGCACCGGCTCCCCACTGCCTCCTCGACGCCATCGCCCGAAACGGCCGGGATCGGCGTCCACAGAGCAAACCGCACGAATCAGCGACGCGTCACCACCACCCCCTTACACCTCACTCCGCCTCCTCCTCCTCCTCCTCCTCCTCTCCTCTCTCTCGAATTCTCCTCCCTCTCCTCTGCTCCTCCGATTCTTGACGGCGAGAACTCGAGATGGATTGGTTTCGAAGGAGAAGAAGAGGGAGGGCTATGGCTTTGTAGGCGATGGGTTGGTTTTTTTTGGTGGGGAATTGAGGAATTTTGCCGTGGCGTCTATCTTTCCAACGGTCAAATTTTTATTAATGGGGAACCAACGGCGCATCGGCGGTCGGATCACTGATCGGACGGTGGAGATTCACCGCTCCGGGTTTTTTGAGCCGTTTAAATAGAGGGGATGAGACTTGCAACGGTAAAATAAAATAGTTGCGTGTGAAAATACGTTGGGAGTGGGATGCCCCAGAGATGGAAAGTGTGGTGTGGTAAATTCGATAGGGGCACCGAGGAAAATTTCATGTTTCGTTATTATTGCGCTGGTTGTTTTTTTGTACGTGGCTGACGTGTGGGCCATATGGTGGCTGTACTGGTGGTTTATTTTGATTTTTGAAGGTCACAACTCACCACGGCTTTCTTATGTTGGCAATCTAATCTAACCAAACCTCCTAAAAAAAATTCCACCGAACCATCTCCTGATTCTAAACTGCCAACTCGAACACGAAACTGAAATGGGGGATAAACTTCGATTTGTCAAATCGAATTCAAATCCGTCCAAGTAAAATCAGTATAGGGAGAACTCCAATCGACCCCCAATAAAATCAACAGAGAAATCGATGGTAACCCAACAGAGCAATCAACAAATCGCACCTAAGACTTGCAACTCCATCCTGACCTCCTTCAAGCTTGCCATTGATCGATGGCGTCTGGCCCCACATTGAGGGACCGCTTGATGCCATGGCCATATCGTCACTCCTTCTCCGCCATCACCTATGCCCAGATCCAGAGAAGATGGGGGTGGTTGCCGACCTCCACCCTGCTCGCTACTCTCCGCCCTTTACTAGCCTCCGTCTTGCTAGCTGTCCTCCGCTGTGGGACTCCATCTTACTCGCCATCGATGTAGCGCGGACCTTTAGTGGAGAGGATGTGAGGCTAGAGGTAGACTGGTAGAGGATGGGAGGAGGCGGAGGCAAACCAGCAGCCGACGACTACTCTTCTCGATTTAGGTTTAGCAAACGGATTTAACTAATAAGGAAGAGATTGGGGGAAACAGTTCGGTTCTCTCTCTCTTTCTCTTGGCACTGACAAGAGACAAGAGGGAGGCTGAGAAATGAATCGACAAGTCTTGATTAGCTACTCGCGCTGGCCTGTGGCCCAGCCGGCCAACTCAACGTGTACGTGGCGAGGTGCAAACCAACAAGAAAAAGAAAATAGAGCATAGCATTGCACTGTTGTATTGTGATTCGAAAAAAAAAATCCATTGTGAAAAACATATATAGACGTTTCTAAAAGAAAACTAGCATGGTGGCTCGCGCAGATTACGCGGCTAGCATCATTATATTTTCTCTCATATAATAGCATATATGTTTTCTCATTATATTATTCAAATATATTAAACTTTTATATTTAAACATAATTTTAATTTTACAATAACTTTACAAAACTACTAATGTGTCATATTCATATTGTATTTTATATACGTGTTAGTTATTAATTATTTTTAATATCAAATTTTACTTATTTGTAAATTATATATATTCCTATATGGACTCTATACTCGTCTTTTAATATTTTTTTTAATTCCGAATTTTCTATAAATTGTATTTCTATATAGACTCTATGCTATTCTTCCAATATTATTTATGTTTATTTCTGAATTTTTATTATTTCTAATTGTATTTCTATGTGGGCTCTAAACTCATCTTTCAATATTCTTTAATTTTTAATTTCGAATTTCAGTTACTTCTAAATTGTATTCCTATATTGACTTTAAACTCTTCTTCCCATGTTTTTCTTAATTTCGAATTTCAATTATTTGTAAATTGTATATTTATATGGACTCTAAACTCTACTTTTAATTTTATTATGTTTATTCCAAATTTTAGTTAGTTTTAAATTCCTATATGGACTCTTTTCTCTACTTCTAATATTCCTTATTTTTTAATTCCGAATTTCTATTTTTTTCTTAATTGTATTTCAATATGGACTCTATACTCTACTTATAATATTCCTTGTTTTTAATTCCGAATTTCTATTTTTTTTTCTTAATTGTATTTCTATATGGACTCTAGTCTACTCTTCTAATATTCCTTATTTTTAATTCCGAATTTCAGCTATTTCCTAATTGTATTTCTATATGGACTCTAGTATCCTCTTCTAATATTCCTTATTTTTTAATTCCGAATTTCAGCTATTTCTAAATTGTATTTCTATATGGACTCTGCGTTTTCTTTTTCTCCGATTAATGTAGGAATTTCTAGGCCATGAGAGCGAACGTGGAGGCTCCTTTTTCTATTCCTTTAATAATATAATAGATAGATGTGATGCGAAAATAATTAATGAGCCCGACCTAAATTTTCATTTGTTAACTCGATCTTGCACAAAGGACTAGGTCATTCACACCCATCTGTTTCTCCCACGCTAAATCAACATGCCCAAACATCTTTCACATCCCGGACGTATAGAGCGATTGTCCAAACACAAATATATCTTTGTAGTAATTATACACGTCGTCGATGCTTATAGTTAAATTCGGATGCTTTGATAAATTGTTGGGGTCACTTCATCCACCCTATCAACATTGTAACGCATGCGTATTTTACTAGTATTAAATAATGATTATATCTACTATTTTAAAGCCGGTTGTTCTCATGGTTTTTAACTGTTCCTCTTGTAATTCGTGAGAGTGGGTGAATACCCACGGTCAACCTAAACATCGTGAAAATTCGTGGGAGATGGGAGAATACCCACTGGTTGTAGCGGAGTGAGGGCAGGAGACATGCGGCGTGGGAGTTCGTTTTCGCTAGGCGCAGAGGGAGGTGTGGGAGAGCACGCCGACGCGGGAGGGAGGCAGAGGCCGACAACCCGAGCTCCCCCAACCTCGCCGCTGGCCATCGCCGTTCCCTGGCGACAGGGCCCGTCCTGACTTCTCAGCCTCCAGTGCGAAACGACTCTTATCATACTATATAATAATAATTAATAGGTACATATACTAAACTATACATGTTACCTCGAAAATTTATTCTGACATTTCTAGCTGAGAAAGTCATTGATAATGGTACCAATATTAATTTCATCCAATAATTTCTTCTCAATGCATAAAGTTGCCAACGATTTAACCTTTTCTCGCTACCCGATGCATACTTTCTCGATGACATGGCCTGATAATCATAAAAAAAAAGGGGTGAATAGCCCGTTTAGTCCTTCAACTTTTGCTCAGGGGTTTAATTAGTCCTTGATGTTTTATAATGTCCAAACAAGTTCCTAAAGATCATCATGCGACTTAATATAGTCCTTGGACCCCTTAAAACGCCACGTGAATATGGCACATCATTCATGCATGTAAAGTTAATATTTAAATGTCCATTTTAACCTTACATTTTTATATAAAACATAGGGAAAAACAAGAAGAAGCAATCATGAAATAAAGGAAAATGCCAATTTTTTTAGTTACCAATGCTACATCTTTTTGCCGGTGGCCAAAATCTTTTTTTTTCTCAATAGTTTTTCTTTATTCATCTGAAAACGTAATGGTAGAAGGGACACTTAAATATATAATTTGCATGCATAGATGATGTGGCATGTACATATGGTATTTTTAGAGCGTCCAATGATTATATTAAGTCACGCAATGATCCTTAAGCGAAAGTTCAATGAATGTTAGTTATTCACCCAAAAATCAACACTATTATTGTGATTTAACTCGTAATTATAGTGCAAAATTATAAATCTAAATTTAAAATCTTACCAATTAATTGATGGCAAATAGTAAGTTAGAAACACAATAGTTGAGCGAGAGAGAGAGAGAGAGAGAAACCGAAGAGAACGCTCAGAACGGGAAAGATGAAGAGGAGCGAGCTGACATGTGGGTCCAGCCATTAGTTGTTTTGTTAGCTAATGACCGATCTTCTCGTTTCTTTGGACTGCCTTCGCACCAGCGTCATGCAGTTACGGTGGCTTTACAGTTACTAATACAGTTTGACAAGGATTAGCAGTAAAGCCAAATATGATGAATTTGGATGCTAAAGATAACACAAATTCATCTCTTTTTTTTTGCATAAATTCCATCAAATACAAACGAAAACAGTAAAGCACTCGACCACAACGTAGAAACAACCTTCCCAGAGCATGTGTGTTGGACACACTTAAAACCCAAAGCAAACCAGGAGTCCCCGCCGGTATGGCGCGCCGCCGCCGTCCCCCCGGTGCGGCCGCGTCGCCATCGCCGCTCCGCACAGCAGGTGCTTCATGCCCCTCCTCCTCCTCCGCCACGGCGGCCGGCTCGCCGTGACGGCGCGCGCGGGCACCGCCGCGGCGTACGGGTTGTTTTCTTTGCGGTGCGCGGCGGCGGCGACCGCGGGGCCACGCAGCGGCGAGAGCGACCGCGCGCGGCGGATGGGCGCGGCGGCGGCGACGTCCCTGCGTACCTTCTCCAGCGCGGCGGCGAACGGGTCAAAGCCTTCGTGCTTACTCCTCCTGCTCGCGAACGGGCTCCGCGACGACGACGCCGCCTTGCTGGCTGCCGTCGGCGACGTCGCGGCGGAGGCCGCGGCCGACGCCGAGGGCGTCTGCAGGCGCGGTGGCAGCTTCAGCGGGCGCAGCAGCGCGCCTTCCCGGAACAGCTCGTCGGCGAACGCCGCGGCCGACAAGTCGCTGGAGCACGCGCGCACCCCGGCGCCGCCGCCGTCTTCTCCATCATCAACTCCTCCCTGCTGCTTACCGCCCGCCGCCGTAGCAAACTCGAAGCCTCCTCCTCCTCCTCCTCCGCCGCCGCCGCCGCCGCGGCCGGCGTGATGCTTGGGCAAGCTTGCGACGTTGTAGAACAGGTAGAGCGGCGCGCTGTGCCGGTGCGAGAACGACGACATGAGGGTGGCGGCGAGGTCTTCCATGGCTGCGTGCAAATCGATGGGATGGATTGGATGCGCGCGCGCGCGACGATATATATGGCGAGCGACACAGTGGCATGGCGATGGTGGTGGCTTGGGAATGGAGGGAAAGTGGCCACATTTCCGGCCCAAAATGAGATTTTTGACCACAATAGTTTACGACCTAAGTAACCAATGATTGGCTTGGTTGCTAGCCAGTTTCCTTCATCAGGAGATTACTAGCTGCTAGTAGATGATTTTCGGATTTGAGAAATATTATGAGCTTTTGATCCAGATGAAGCAGTATTAAGTTAATTACTTGTACCAGCAGCCACTGAATACAATGTACTACTTCGTGTGAGCTACTCAACTTGATGTTTGAGCAAGCGTGTATATATTCATGTTATCTTGATAGGTTTAGGCCGGGATAATTTAAAAGATAATTAAAATTGCCAGTCCGTCAAACCTATATGTATGAGATGAGATGAGATGATGGTGATGGCATTACATTATCAGACTTTCACGCGAGAGGGGTGGCAGAGAATGGAAGCATTTGTCTGCAGCCCAAGAAATGTGGCTTGAAATCTGGAAGAGGCTGATGCATCATGGATGGATGTAGTGGCAGGCAATGTTTTCTTTTCTTTACCCGGGCTCCTTTAAATAGCCTGACGCCTAGCTTTCTCTCTTGTTATTGTATGTTATATCAAAAAGTTTGGCGGGTGCGCAGAATGTCGCCTGCTGTTTCTTTAATCAAACGTACATTGGCTTGCTTATCATCAAGCATCTTAATCTCAGACGCACCAAAGCTTAATCCAACACGCACCCAAAGTAAATTGTTTCTGCAGCTTTCCTGCTTCCTGAAATTTCCCCAAATCTTAGTAACATGCTCCTCGTCTTCGATATATGGAGTATGGGGTGCGGCGAGAAATGGGGCAACAGATGGTAGAAATCACTGGCAATAATAAAGTCACCAAAGCAGCGAACTCGCATAACTCACACCATGTCGTCTTACTTAGAACTAATCCCATCACATGGAAAGAGACAATTTGCTACGTTCTGTTTAAAGACATGAAAATTAAACAAAACAAAAGCGAACCCAAATGGATTATTGAAAACAACAATTAAGTGTGAATGTGCGATATACCTCCTTTTGAACTTTAACCGAACAAATAAACACAAGACAAGGTAGGCGGTCGTAACACAAAGGCCACAATTGCTCTGCCTGTTAATAATAATCGACAAAAACTTCACATCTATTTCTACATCGTCATTTCTTTTTATCAAAAAGACTAACACTCCAATAACAGGGACAGGAGGCAAATCCGGATTGAACTAAACCTTGTCGTCCTTCAATAGCTCTGGAGCATTATCCAACTGGGAACATCATCCCGGTTCTCTTTCCTTTCTTTGATCTTTTGTACAAAAAAGAACTTTACTCAACAATTCAATCCCACTAAAGCGTGGAATTTACTAAAAATGATGATACAACCGTGACAGAGTCATGGCAGTTAACTGCCTCCCTTCTGCTTGAGGGTAATCTTGTCTCCTAAGCTGAGTGCGATTCCCTGGGTCTTGCTCCTTATTCTGATGTAACCACTGAGCTTGCCATCAAACTGCTTCTCGATGCTGATATTTACCAAAGCATCTTCACCGAAAACACTCTTTGCATAAAGGTTAGCGGCGAGAAAACCGCATTCTCCGTCAAGCGCAGACCTGGCATAAGGTTTATGAATTAGAAGAGTGATTAACCCTATTATTAATATGACAAGTAGTGGAATGTACGGGACAACAGTTTTCCAGTTATCTGGCTAACACGATGCTGTCGCATCACAAGCAGTTGTTCGAATGCATGTTTACTTCAAAATCACAAGTAACTAATTCATTGATTCACACAGTTGCTTGCACTGCAATATAGTAAAACATTGCTTGACAACATGGGTATTGCTATCCATGCATGGGCATTGACAGCATATGGGAAGGATATCAAACACGACTAAAAGTTGATGGTTGGAATGAAATGTTATCCAGTTCTTCTCATTTCATAATGACTTATTAGTTCCGACAAAGAAGCTCAAAATTTTTGTTGAGTATTTATCTCGTCTAGAAATTAGTAGATGTTGAACCGTCTATATAGAACAGGCCTACCAGCATTGCCATCAACAGGCATTGAACTTCAGAACCGTACACCACGTGTTCATACCAAACTTTACCTACCTCGAGTCAAGTAAACTAGCCAAGCTTTTTGAATCCAAGATCAAGGCAATTTAAAAATGGTAATGTGCAGGAAAGAGGTTTGTAATAGTCAAGGAACCTAAAATAAGCATTCCTAGACACACAATACACACTCATGTACATGTTAAGCGAGAAATTCTTGCCAGCAAGTCAACATGAAAGGACAATTTACAAAGGAAACTTACGGTGGTGTTAGACACTTCATGTTTGTTGACTTGATGATATGATCCAAAAACTCCTTCTCATTCTGAATGACAGTATTCACTGCCACCTGATGAATGGTAACAAAATCGAGTTAAAAAGGTGTTAGGACAACCAGAACTTCTGTTATAATGCACAAACAGAAGTTCACAAATGCACACATAAAAAAATAGTGCACAGCATCACAATTCCGGTGCATTTTAGGACAACCAGAGCAAGAATAGCAAAAGGAACTAGATCAAAGTATCGAACAAACGTAACATACATGCACTGAAACATAGCTGTGCTTGGTGCAACATCAAAAGCAAAAGTAACTCTCCAAAAAAAAGCTCTTTTCACCAGAAAACAAAATTGTTTATCCAATGCATGGTAGTAAAAGAAAGAAACTAACAATGAACAATTTTCAAAAGGTTTGCCTACTACACAAAGAGATAAGGAGCTGAAATGCTCGATATTATTTCAGCATTTAATTACAACCCAACATGAGTTTTCTATCTGTGTTTTGGTTGGAGAAATATACGACTTATCTGCAAGGCATCACAATTGGTGGTCCATGAAACTCAATAAACAGTTGGCTCAGATTAATGATACGTCAAACATGTATAAGAAAAAAGACTTTTGACAGATAACTATGGAAATGCAGATACAAAAGTAGTTCAGTAAATTGAAATCTGCCAAGGAGAGACTGCCTAAACAGATGAACAAATATAGACTACAAAACTTGGAGCGGATAACATACGACAAAGTAAACTCATTCTAACAAAATATCAAAGCAGGAATAAGTATGTACCTTGTTTTCCCACTCAAATTCTGCCCACATGTTACGGAAAGTAACATCAGCGCAAGTTGCTGGTGAGATATAATCCATGATGTCAATGTGAATATCATTTAGCACAACCACTGATCGCTCCATCACATTTGAAGTTTCATAAACAATGTTCCCAAATATTACTCCAGTCTCTGTTGATGAAACCTTGATATTAGCACGGATTTGTTTGCTTGACTCAGGAGCCAAGGTGTAGTTCTGAGGGCGGTCAACAAGTTTGAGGTCTCCCATTGTAGCCAATTCCAAGCACAAGTTCTGAAGTGTCTCCTTTGTACGGTTAATGATAGTCACATCAAGTACAATATCATAATGATGAACTGTCACATATGCTTCAGCATACACAGGATCACTGAATCCAGTCAACTGAAGAATGCGGTTAAGTCTGTTTGCATCATATGCATCCTTAGTAAACCCACCAGTTGCAGCCTTCAAGTCATCTTGAACTTCATCTTCCAACTCAAGCTGACTCATGCCCTAGGAAAAACAATGTCACATTTTACTAACAAGGAGACATAAATAAGGCAGCATATAACTTGCACTCAGGAAAGGAAAGGTTATCAACCAGATTGACACCTAACATGCAAGAATCACTACTTCCATATTAAACTAAATGAAAAACTCATACGCAGCAACAGTGTAGTTCATCATTCACAACATCTTTGCAAACCTTTTAAAGTAATATCATGCTTTACCTATAACCAAAGAAAACTTTATTCTCTAGATTAACTAGCTTCAGAGTACTATAGAAATATCAAGATAATTTGATGTAAACTTTCATGTTCAAATAAGACTTCCAGTTCACAACAGAATGGCAGCAAAAAGGATTAGACAATGAACAAAAACAAAACAGGGCCGCACTGTAATGAGGATGTCAAAACTTGCTTAAGACATGTTGAGTGACATATTAGTGGGAAAAAATATTGTGTTTCCCAGACCTTTGATCTTATGACTCATGTCAGTAATTAGGCTCCAGGAAACAAAGAAATATCAAGACAATGTTTACAAATTTAGGTACTCAGGACTCAGGAGATACTAAAAGTAACACTAAGGATTCCACACTTGAGCTTGCTTGCATAGCAGTGAACATTCTATTAACCCTACACAAGACATGATATGTGCTTCATAATGTTGATAAAATGCAACAAGTGCATTTTTGCATTATTAAATTTGCAGTGTGAAATAACTCATCGATTCATGTTTGAGTGAACCTGTTGTCAAAGTTATTATTGCTACAGTGTCAGGTTATTCTACCAATTATCCTCAAGAGACCAAGCTATCAGCATGCACACACAAAAAAAAGCCACAAGAGATAATTCGGTCTCTTACCCTTCTGCTCTTCAGGTGGTAGAAATCTATAAGATCATCTGGTTGAGCGTGAGAGATCTGTGCCTTTGCCTTCATCTCCTCTGTCTCCCGGAACTGCTTCTCAGCAAGCATCTTTGCAAAGCTCTGCCTACATGACTGTAACCAGACCTTCCTGACATCATCACCAGTATTGCAAAGCAACCTCACACAAAGCACTATCCTGTCATATGAATCATTATCAATTGGGTGTGGAAGGTAAGATGATTGTCCCAGCTGCAGAATGGATGTCATGACCAGCAAAGCCCCAGTACAAGCCTTGTTCACTTCAACCATTGAGGGCTGAACCTCCTCCAGCCTCAATACAAGTTTGGTCAAGGTACAGGAAATAACGGCAGCCAAGAAGAAATCGCCTGACAGAATGAGTGATCTGAGATTCAGGGTCGATGATAATGACCCAGGAGCAACTGATGGAGTAGAAATGGCCTCAGTGGCAGCACTCTGTGTGGCATAAGTGCCGTCTGCAAGAACAACAGGCCGCCTAGAAGACACGGTAACAGAGTTCACCACTGGTTGTGCTGGCTTGGCTGAGTCAGTTGCCTCCCCTTCCTCAGATACTGTATAGAACGGTACATCGCCAAGGCATTGCTTAATGGTGGAGATAGCATTCTCAACCTCTGATAAGGAGAGAGAGTACTCCCCAAGGATCCACAAAGCACACGAGCACACACGGGATGCCCGGATCTGATAGAATGTATCAATCAATCTCTGGATCATGGACACACGCAGCTTGGGATTAGTCTCAATGATCTCACGCACGAACAACACAACATCAACTGCAGCAGCAACATTAGTGTCACCAAGGAAATCCATGAGTAGGTGCACCACTGACCCAGCCACCTCTGGATACTCCACAGCACAGGCATGGATCGCCTGCACCAGCATCTGGCGGTATTCACCACTCTTCTCAAGTTCCCCTGCCTGCGTCTTGACCACCTCCTTCTTGAGGTACAGAACAACCTCCTCCACATTACGAGCGGTGAGCAGATCGAGCACCAAATCCAGCACCTTCCTCTTAACATCCAAGTTGGGACTGGCGAGTGCACGCAGCACGTCCATCACTACATCCACCATCACATCACGGTGCGAGGTGCGCAGCTCATTCAGGCGGTCCAGGACAATGAGCTTCACATTGTTGTCGCTCTGTGACGACAGCAGCTCGCAGTACGTGTTTGCGGCAGCGCGCACGGCAGTGGGCGCCGAGGAGAGCGACACGAGCGCACCAGCGCACTCATAGACAACAGCGGTGCTGGGGGATGACAAAAGGGCGATGATGATCTTGATATACCTTCCCTTGTCGGCGCGGTTCGGGGAGCGGCAGACCTTGCGGATGAGATCGACGGCGGCCATCTGCAGGAGGTCGGGCCACTCGGCGACGCGGTCGGCGTTGGAGAGCAGGTACGCGACGGCGCGCTCCTGCGCGCAGGTGCAGAGCATGAGGAACGCGTTCCGGCGCGCGGAGGCGTCCTGCTCCGAGGCGAGCGCGCGCTCCACGAGCTCGGGCGCGTCGGGGACGAGCTGGTCGCCGTGCGGGAGGCGGTAGATGGAGGAGATCGCGGAGAGCGCGTGGCGCCTGATGAAGTGGTGGCGGTGGTCGAGGTTCTCGAGGATGGAGGGCACGAGCGGCTCGAGCACCTCGGGCTCGGAGAGGCGGCAGAGGAAGCGGAGGGTGACGCCGCGGATGTACTCGTTGGGGTGGTGGAGGTTGTTGCGGAGGTTCTGGCAGATGAGGATCATCTCCGGGAGGCCCCTGCCGGCGGCGTCGCGCTTGTCGATGATCTCGAGGTAGAGGAGGAGCAGCTTCTGGATGGTGTGGTCCTCGGAGGGGAGGACGTAGCGGACGACGGTGATGAAGAGGGTGGGGAGGGTCTCGCCGTTGAGGAGGAGCATGACGGCGCGCTTCATGGCGTCCACCTTGGCGGCCACGTCGCTGCCCTCGAGATCCGCCTTGATCTCACCGGCCATGGCGGCGGAGCCCTTGTCGAAGTGGACCAGCAGCGTGCTCGGCTTCTCCATGGCGCCGGATCTGGCCACGCCGCCCGCCGGCGACGGCGGCGGCGGCGGCTGGATCTGGACAGCGGAGGAGGAGGGGGGGTTGGATCGGGATCTGAGGGGTGGGTGGAAGGAGTGGTGGGACGGATGGAAGACTAAAGAGGCCTTGGTGTTGCTTCGGTTTTAAGGATTTGATGCGCGTTTGTTGGGCGAGAATTTAGGCTTGAAATCCGCCTATAGATGGGCTGGGATGGGCCGGGGTTGACTAACTCCGCGGTGGGTGAAGCCCAGCTTTTGCTGCCGTTTTTGGAGTGTGGAGAGCAATGGTGCACGGCCCATTTATAGCCCGTTAGTATGATAGCAGATGATTTGTTGCAATAAGTTTACTTTAGGGCCCTCAAAAAATTTGTGCCTAATCTAAAATTCGTCCATGAACTGAAATTTCAGGTATAGCTCAAACCCCAACTCACAGTACTATGTCAACTTTGGTCTCTTAGGTAGTATAGTGATCGGTTTTGGTTGACGTGATGAGTGGGAGCCATGTGAGCCCTACATGTTAGTGGCAACTCGTCTCCCTCTCTCTCTCTTTCCTCGGGGACACCGGGAGCGGAGGCTAGCGGCTTCGCTGAAGCCTTTCACAGTGCTCCTATATGGAGCGTTACCTCCTTATGCCAGCTAGGAGACGTGTTAAGCCGGACCGCGTCCTTCGTGAGCCGTTCGCCCCCCCTATAAGGAGACGCGATTCTTCGCTCGTGCGAGAGGCTAGCAGAGGCTATCGGCTTCGCTGATAGCGCGGTACTCGGGCTAGGTGGTGTAGGCACTACACGAGCTCTCGAGGAGGTTTTTTCTGACCGACCCGGCCATGCTAAGCCACCCCATTGTTTGCACCTTCATGGGCCTTGCCTCACTCAGGGTACCCCGCTAGGGAGGTGCTTGGCAGCTCGGGCGTAGTACGAGGCTTTTCCAGCGCGCGGACACCGACCGCACTGCCGTGTCCGGGGTGCGGGAGGTTGTGTGGGGCCAGCGAAAGCACCAGGTCGCAGTCCTCAACTACCACCGTGACGGGGAGCCGCATTGGGTTCAGAAAGCACCGTCTTTTTTCTCGTTGTGTTGCTCGGTTCAGAACATGTATCCTTGCGTTTACTCAATCTCTGAAGTCCCTCTTGAGCTTTTTCATGTTATTGGCTTGGATTAATGGAGGATTTGAATTCGGAGCGTGTATACATTCGATTCGGAGGGAGGGGAGTTTTAATGATTGCTTGATTCGAGATGTGGGATTTGACTTTAGAATAGCAGTCTCTTCTATTTTTCTAGTTTGTTCTTGAAACAGTCCTGACAATTTCAGTTTGTAGCTAACAGCGAGGTTAATAACATAGCCAACTATCGGCTGCAATAGATGGACATATCATCTGGAGTAAACATTATAGCCAACTAATACAATAAACATATTATACTTACTGCAACACAAATATTTTTTTTGTTTTATGGGCCCACCATCCCTCTATTCCCTTTCTTGCTCCCATCCTTCCCTTTCAGCTTTTTTCTTCCCGGTTAGGATGAGGCAGTGTCCCAGGCTCCCAGCCAACGCATGCATGCGGCCGGAGGCGAGGGAGATGACGGCAGCTGCGGCGGACACCGGCGGCGGCGACGGCGACGGAAGCCACGGAGAACGCGGGCGAAGGTGGCGGCCGCGGAGGACGAGGGCCACAAACGCGGGAGAGGGCCGGCAACCGCGGGAGAAGGGGTGGGATGGGCGCAGGAGACGGCGACGGCTGTGGTGGCCGGGGACGGCGGCCGCTGCAGGCGCGGACGAGGTGGCAGGACGGGCGCGTTAGAGGACAGCGGGGCGCGGGCGCGCGGCGGATGTGGGCGAGGACAGCGGGGCGCGGCGGATGCGGGCAAGACGACGGGATGGACGCTGGCAACGACGGCAGCCGCTAAGGATGAGGACAACGGTCGCGGCGTGGCGGATGCGAGCGACGACGGCGGAAGGATGCGGGCAAGGATGGCAGCCACGGCGCAGCGGATGTGCGCGAGGACGACGACAGCCGCTGAGGACGAGGACGGCGGCTGCAGGGTGGCGGATGCGGACGAGGACAGCGACCGCGGTGCGGCGGATGCGGGCGACGACGGCGGGATGGACGCGGGCGACGAAGGTTGTCGCGGGAGGACGAGGACGGGCTAACGGTGACAACGTCGGAGAAGGGCGAGGACGACTGGCTGACTGTCGTGGCCGCGGAGGAAGAGGACGACGCGCGGGAGGACGGTTTCATCGCTGCGGGCCCCACGACCTCGGGCCGCGTGTGTAGCCGGGCGGCAATTTAGTCGCCCGTCCGTTCTCTCTCTTCCCTTCTCTCCTCCAGCTCAGCGAAAAATCCTACGTGGATCTACTACCGCCATTATTGTACCTGCTCTAAGTGGGGTTTTGTATCCGTGCCAGGCCGCCCATCTGTCGGACATATTAGCAACTTGTTCCGAGGAGGGCAAGGTGGAGTGCCCTTGAGCGAGCACGTGGGGGAGGTGTTTGTCGATGAGGATAAGGAGAGGGAGAGGAGGGAGAAGAGTCACTGCCGACACGTGAGGTCCACGTGAGTCCCACTCGTTACGTCAACCAAACCAACCAGTATATTGTCGAGGGACCAAAATTGGCATGATATTGTGAGTTGGGGAATGAATTATACCTGTTATTTCAATTCAGGGATGAATTTTAGACTTCGCGACAAATTAAGATGGTTAAAGTGAACTTGTCTCTTCTTTGTTTACATTGGGGATAGCTAATTACCGTAGTTGTGTTGCCAACACACACTTTTTTTGTATTTTAGTAGCACCTTCATATAAAATTTCAATTCCCCGTCTACAACTTTGAATTTAAACTAGGAAGGTAGCCCGCGCATTCGCGCAGTGATGTATTGTACACAGGGTTAAACTTTTCGGTTTAGCCGATTTGATCGGGCATCACCGAAATACCAAAATTTCAGTCTGAAATTTCCAAAATTTTGAACAAAATTTAGTTGAATTTAAACAAATATTACCAAAATTCATGAAAATTTTAAAAAATGAAAAATTTCGGCCGAAATAATATCGTATCTGAGGGGTCAGAAATGATCGAAATTTCCAACCTTGATTTGTACATTGCGTTTGAAATAAATAAATATATATATATATATATCATATTTGATACATATGTATAAATAATTATCTATGATCTCTTTATTATATAGAAGGAAGTTTGATTTAGTTTGTTTGGAAAACATGTCTAACAAATTAAGTGTAAATTAGAAGTAAGGTGTTTTTGTCATTTTTTAATAAAATGTTTACTTGCCTTTTTTTACAAATTCTAAAGAACTATATTGTTAATAAATGTGTTTTATTTGTACCATCAAGTAGTTCTCCTTCTCGTAGGTTTAAGTTGATACAAGTTGTTACATACTGACGGAGCGTGGGGCTCCTCACCGGGAGACCGCGCAGGCCCCCCTTTGCCGGTTCGGCGGGGGGCGCTAAGTGAGGTTCTTCGCCCTCGATCTGAGGAACGTCAGCGAGAGAGGAAGTGCACAAGACACGGGCGACGTAGACAGGTTCGGGCCGCTGAGAAGCATAACACCCTACTCCTGTGTTCTGGTGGATCTGTGCGTGAAGGAATACAGAAAGCCGGAGAGCCCTTCTCTCCCCCCTTTTTTTCTTTCTAGGCCTGGGCCTCCTTTTTATCTGGTCAGGGGTCACCACAGGGGCCTCTAGCTGCCTAAGAAAGGAAACATGCTTTTTACAATGAGGGCTAGTCTACAGCCAGAAGTGACCTTTGACAAGCAGAGCACACGCCTCCTGCCCCGCTCGCCAGCTTTCCCGGTGGACGCCCATTTCAACCTTCATTCAATGGCCAGCGACTTCCTTGCCATACTTGCGCTGAAGCCTGGACTGGATCTGACCGGGACTGACATACCAACTCCAGGAGTTAGCACGCCGGCTCCGGCTAGGGATGAGAGCCAGGAAGCTCTCATCATTCCGACGGGACGGGGCGAGGCGTGTGACAGGGCGCCTGTTGCCACCTAACCCGCGATCTAACCGGTCTGTGACCGGTCACACGCCGCGACCGGTCACGGACCGGATAAGCGTGCGCTGCGCCGCATTAAATGCGGTGTGGCGCGCTCGTCCAACCCGCTATAAATGCGGTTAGGTGAGCCCCGCTGTGCTCACCTAACCCACACACGTGGCGCTAGAACCACAGGGGGTCGGGGCGCCCCAGCCCTCGGGGCCGAAACGGGGGCGCCCCAGCCCTCGGGGCCGAAACGGAAGCGGCCCGACCCCTCGGGGAGACAGAGGGAGGGGTGGCCACGTCACCCTCGGGCCCGACCCCCCCGAGGGGGTCAGGCCACGTGAGTGACCGCGGCTACCCAAGCCTCTAGTCACGATACCCCCGACCCCATGTCACCGACAGTAGCCCCCGGCGTTACGCCAGGGCGATCGCCTCCCTCGAGGGAAGCGCTCGGGCGTGACGCCACTCCTTAGGCCCGGTGACAGGTGGGGCCGGTCCCTACAGGCGGGCAGAAACCCAGCGGTCGCAAATCGCGCGCATCGGCAAGGGAAAACCGACCGACAATAATGAGCGGCCTCTTTAAGACCGCTACATTACTCGAGCAGCGCGCGATTCGGGACGAGCCGGTTCGTTTCGCCTGGAGACATGATGGTGGCGCTTTTCGCGGTTGGCGAGCGTAGTTAATGCGCGCACGATCTGCCCCATCTCAACCGCCACGGCCGCACATCTGCCGCGTGCGCCGCAAACGGGTGAGTGGGGTTAGTGGAGGCGTGGGCGCGAGAAACGAGGGGGCGAGGTAGTGGGCGCGGGAAGCGAGGAGCCGGGCATAGCGTTGGCAAGGGTGTAAAGACGCCGAGGAAGGGATTCGTTTCCTTCCTCTCGCCACTCTTCCCCTTGCCTTCGCCACTCGCGCTCTAACTCTTCGTTTCCTGTGACCTACCCTTGCCGCACTCGCTCGCTCTCAAGCTCCTCCTCCGCCGGCGTCATGGCACGGGGCTCCGCACCACTCGACGGTAGCGTGCTGCCGCCTTCCCGCATCGTGAGCGAGAGGCAGGCCGGGCTGCCGCGCCGATTCATGCCGGAATCTGCCACCGGCCGGGAGGTGGTCGCGCAGGGCGAGGGACGCCCGGCGCCACACTACCCGGGGC